GATCTTTAGTGAGCTGAGAACTACTATGTGAAGCTTCTTCTGTTCTTTTGAGCATAATAAATTGGGATATATTGCATGATCCCTTCACATTGTTTATTAAACAATGTACTGTAACTTGCTGTAGTATTCAATGTATTAGGGCTTGCTTTACTATCCCCTGTTTGGTTGCTTTTTGTGTGATCTACCAGGAAAAACTATCTGAACCCTGTTGATTCGATTTGATTTAATTTGATTATCGTCACATGTATCAAGATATAGTGAAAAGTATTTTCTTGTGTGCTAACCAGACAAATCATAACTTGCGTAAGTACAACAGAATAATAGAACAGAATGCAGTACATTGTGTAATAGCTACAGGTGTAGAGAAAGATCACTCGAATATATGAGAGGTCCATTCATAAGTCTGAGAACAGCACAGAAGAAGCTGTTCTTGAATCTGTTAGTATGTGTTTTCAAATTTTTGTATCTTCTGCCCAATCAAAGAGATATAACCAGATGGGAGCGGTTCTTGATTTTGTGAATAATCTTTGCTACCCAGGCATTTAGTGTGTGACGTGGCAGGACCTGCTGTTATGATACTTGATCTGGTGTTTCGAGTGTGATAAAGTCATGAAGTTTTTGAACAGAATCTTTGGCTCAATGGTCCTGTACCATTTGTCAAACAACCAAACATTGGATTGTGTGCAATTCTTGAATCCTCATTACAGGAGGGACGTGATAGCACTGGAGGGTGCAGCGGAGATTTCCAAAGATGTTGCTTGGGCTGAAAAGTTTCAGTCATGATGAGAGGCTGGGTAGACTGTGGCTGTTTTCCTTAAAGCAAAGAAGATTGAGAGGGGAAATGATTGAGATCCATAAAATTAAGAGTGGCATGGATAAGATAGGCAGGAAAGAAATTTTCCCCTTGGTGGAGGGATCAATGATGAGGGGGCCCAGATTTAAGGTAAGGGGTCAGTTTAGAGGAAATGGAAGGAAGAATGCTTTCACCCAAAGGGTGGTGGGAATCTGCAATTCACTGCTTGTAAGAATGGTAGAAATAAAAGCCTCATAACATTTAAGAAGTATTTAGATGTGCACTTGCAATGACAAGGCACACAAGTCTATGGGGCAAGTGTTAGAAAATGGGTTTACAATAGTTAGGTGGCTGTTTTTGGCCAGACCAGACATGATGGAGTAAAGAGTCTTTTCCTGCAGACTTCAGTGATTCTATGATGCTAATTCCAGTGATGTATCAGGAATTGCCATGTCTGATGCCTTTTCTGGGATTTATGTATGATATTTTGGACCTCCTGTATGATACCTGATGTGGTGTTTGGTGTATGATACCCCAGAACCTGCTGTTTGATTTCTGTTTGAATTTTCAATGTTGCATGTACTGCTTGTTATTTATTGATTGAACTCCAATTTAAATGAGTTTAAAATAAAAGCCTATCTGGAAATGAAACAGAACAGACCATTATTGCACACTCTCTGCTCTGTCTCCATTTTCTGTGCTCTCTCGCTCTTCTTGACCCCTTCTAGCCCCTCTTTCACTACCCTCTCTCCTACACTGCCACACTTTCCATCTTTGTTTCACGCTCACTGTCAGGCCTTTTGCACCACCTATTCTTTCTATTCCCCTCCTGCCCATCTCCTGCTGCCTATCTCCCTCACCCCCACTAAATGCTTGTGCTTTCTCTGCTGGTCTCTATCTAACCCTCTCTCTCATGCTTTCTCCCCACTCTCTATTCTCTCCCGCATACATTTTGCTCTCTCTAACCTGCTGTCTTTATCTTCTCTCTCCTATAGTCTCTCTCATTTAACTTTTAACCTCTTGTTAATCTTTCCATCACTGTCTTGCTTTCTCTCTCACTCCCATGCTCCATCTTGCACTTCCACACACTCTCATACCCCTGCTCCCCACCAGTCATTCTATCTCACTTCATTGCTCCCCCTTTGAGCCTCTGTCCTCGTCTGTCAGTCTCCTACTCATCTGTGCTTTCCATCCACTTTTTCTGTCTCCCGGTTCTCTCTATTCTAAATGCTCAAAAGGTATACTGTCACTAAGTCACCCTTAATTTACATGTGGTGAGTCCTTGATACTATCCAACTCCTTCAGAGCCAGCTTTCAGAGTGGACAGAACCTCTGATAATCCTGTTTATACCTGTCAACCAAGGCTCCCTGATTAGTTTAGATTAATAGCCCCAATCAGGTAGCTCATATTTATGACCTCACTTGGCTGACCTTGTTACACTCACTACACTCCCTACCTCTCTCTCCCAACATTTTCTGTCTATCCCAGTCTTCTTATTTCTCTAATACAGTTGCGTCACTCTGACAATTCCTCTGTCCATTTATTTTCATTTTGCCCCATCTCTCTCCCACTTGTCTGATCTGTCTTACCTTGTCTCCTACTCTATCCCCTCTTCCATGCTTTGTCTTTACTGGTCTGCCTCATTTCTCCGATATTGCCTGTTCTCCTTCCTTTCCCATTGCCTCTCTCGCTCTCCCCTGTCTCCCAACCCTCTCCCTGTCACTCTATCCAGCTCTCGCTCCCCTATTTCCCTCCCTTCTTCTCTCCGCCCCCTCCTATATACTCTTCATTCCTCCTTTTTTTCTCATGCCATCACTCCACCACACATCCCATTTATCCACATCTGTTTTTCTCTCACTTCATGTCTGTCCCTGACTCTCTCCATGTTTCGCACTCACCTATTCCTCCTCCAGCTGCCTCTGTCTCTATCTCTGTCTATCTTCCTGTCTCACTGTGAACACATCTGCCTCCTGCTCTTTTCTTACCCAACCACTTGCTCATTCTCTCCCCTCTTTTCTTTCGCAACTTCTTCCACTCTCCCTTCACCAGTTCCCTCTCTCACCTCTTCTTTTTCTCCTCTGCTCTCTTACCACCCTTTTCTCTTTTGTCCTTTCCCCCACACCCTCATTCTCCCCTTATCACCCATTCGCCTCACACCAGCTCAGTTTCTCTATATACCTGTTCCGCTGTCTCTCATTTTCTCCTGCTTTTACATTCTGTAGATCTCGATCATTCATTCTGGGTACACTCTCTGCCTTCCACCTACATTCTACTACCCCAACCACCTTCACCCACTATTGACTTTTCTGCTGTTGTCACATTTACCCATCTCCTGCTCTGGTCCTATTTGCTCTGTCCACATTCACTCTCTACCTCAACTCCCATTCTCTTGCTGTCTACTACAATTTTGTCTCCCTCTTTCTTCACTCTCTCTACTCGGTCTCCTAATCTCTCTCTTAACCCACTCTCTATCCCCTTCCCACAGACTTTCTCTCTCTCTCTTCCCCATCTCCTTTCTATGTCCCAATGTCATCTCTCTCCCACTCTTTCTCTCCCCAGCTGCATCTTTCTTCCTCTCACCATCTCCAAGTCCACAGGTCTCTACCCCTACTTCCTTAATCTCTCTTGTCCTGTTCGCTCTCTCTCTCCGTGATCACCCCTTCTCCACGATTCCACCACCATTTTAACTCCCTTTTTTCCACTCCCACACTCACTACCTCTGCTGGCTCTTTTTCATTCCTTTTCCTCCTCTGTTCCCTCTCTCACCCTTCATCCCACTCTGCCTCATCGCTCTATTTTTCTCACCACATCACCAACTCCCTGTCAGTCTCTCTCTTTTACTCCCTCTTGCGTCTTCATGTTTCTGTTCCCTTCCCTTTTATCCTGCTCAAGCTCTTCTCCCAATGCTCTTGTCATCTAGTATCACTCTTTTCCCTCCCTGCAGTCACCTTTGCTCAACTTTTTTTCCCTTACCACCCATGTACTCTCTGATCCCACTCATGCTCTGTTGGTCCTGACCTCACGCTCACTGCCTGAGTTTTCTCTCTCATCTGCTCTCTCCAATTTCTTCCTGTCATCACATCTCTCACTCTCATGCACATGCTTCCTCTCTTCAATCCCACACATACTCTCTCCCTCTAACTCTTCCACTCCTCTCTCTCTCTCTACTAGGGATCAGGTGAGGAGCTGCAGGATCCACTTCTGCAAACACTCCCCAACACCCAACGCCACCACTGTCCCCAAAATCTCAGGAGAAGGAAACTTCAGAATCTGTCCCTGTGACCCTCTCCCTACTCCCCTCAACGCACACTGTGCTCGGGATCCCAGGGATCAGGCGCTATGCTGCAGGATCTGCCATCATAATCCCCAGTTAATGGTATACTCAAGCTCCCAGGAGAGGGACGTTGTAGGAACTGGCTCTGTAACCCTTACCCCGACATGTCGTGTTCAGGATCTTCGGGATCAGGACTGAAGCTGCAGATCTGCCCCGTAAACCCTCCCATCTCCAATTCACGAGATTCCTGAATCCAAGAGTGGGAAGCAGCATCTGCCCTACTAACCCCTAGGGAAGCTGCAGAACCTGCCCCTCTCCCTCTCCCAATCCACGCCGTACTCGGAATCCCTCGGATCAGGAGTGAAGCTGCGAGATGTGATCCTATAAACGCTCCCATCCCCCATTCAGGAGAAATCTGGATCCCAGGAGGGGGAGCAGCATTTTCCCGGTAAATTCCAGCTATCTCATATAATCTCATATCCTCGGGATCGCAAGAGAGGGATGCTGCAGGATCTGCCCCTGTAACCGCCCCTTCCCGCCTTCGGGATCCCCGGTGCCCGGAGTGATACTGCAGCATCTGCCCCGTAACCCCTAGGTAACGGGATCTTCGGGATCCTAGGGGAAGGAAGCTGCACGATTTACCTCTTTAAGCCCCAGGTAACGGGATCGTCAAGATTCCGGGAGAGGAAAGCTGACAGATCCCGCTGCGCCGCGACCTGATCAATTTCGGGGCGGAGCGTTCGGAAGAGTGGGCGGCCGCCCGGAACGGAGTGCCCTCTGATTGGCTGCCTCCCCGTGCAAGGACGGCCTCCCTTTGTGTGTGATTGGCCATCTGGCTGCGGTCCTACCCCTCCGGGGGGGGGAACAGCCAATGGGAAACAGCGCAGCGGGCGCTGCGTCCTTTGCGCCCATCGCTGCGCCAAGAGGCGGGAGTTCCGGCCCGAGCAATTTCCGGCGCACCCAGCGCTCGTTTAAAGCGCAAGCTTTACAACAACAACCGCAACAAAAGAGAACGGTACCGCCGCGGAGACTCGGTCTCTGGGACCGGGAGCTGAAGCGAGCTGGAGGCCATGGTGGAACCCCGGGCTCCCAGGTTCAGCGATGCTGCCCTGAAGGTCTTGGTGGAGCAGGTGAGAGCCCACAAGGAGGTCCTGTTCCCTTCAGATGGCAGGAAAATGCCCAGGCAGACCCTGCGCCAGGCCTGGAGGGAGGTGGCACTCTATGTCAATCTCAAGAGCATCACCCCCAGGACCTGGCTGCAGTGCCGCAAGAAGTTCAACGACCTCACCCGCACTGCCAGGGTGAGTACACTAATTGTGCCCACGATCACTTGCACCCGATTTTAACTCAACGCAGGGTCAACGGAATTCTATTGAAAAAAATGGACAGCGCTAGAAGCCAAAGCATGCTGCTTTACACTTCATTGGAGCCTTCTGTCCTTCGATCCTCCTGCAACACTGTCAGCGTTACCCCTGTCTTCTCCATCATTATCTCCCTTCGCCCTAAATGAGTTGAGACCTATTGCTTTTCAGTCGCAATCGCGGGGAGTACCACATGCGTACCATCTAAAGAAATGTTTTTGAGTTCCCTGTTGGATTTATTGATGTCCTGTCATTTTCTCCTCTTCCCTTGAAGTGGAAGTACTTTTTGTCCCCCTTGTATATTTCACAAATATTCATGGGATGTGGGTGTCCTTGGCTGAGCCAGCATTTATTGCTCGTCCGCAGGTGCTCCTTGTAAAGCCGGTAGTAAGATTCCTTCTTGAACCGCTGCAGTCCATGTGATGTAGATAAAACCACAATGCCATTAGGGAGGGAGTTTCAGGACTTTGACCCAGTCACACTGAACTAGTAATATATTTCGAAGTCAGGATGGTGACTGTCTTGGAGGGGAACTTGGAAGAGGTGGTGTTCCAATGTACCTACAGCCCTCCTCTTTCTAGGTGGTAGAGATGACAGGACTGGGAAGTGCTTTTGGAGAAGCCTTGGTGAGTTATCGCGATGCATCTCGTAGATTGTACACACTACTGCAGTCTGTTGGGGTGGAAATCAAGCAGACTACTTGGCCCTGGATCAGAATTCTGTTAAAATCCTTCATTATCTGAAATCACTTGGCTGACCTTAATTGTAAAGTTATGTCACCTTACTCTATACCTGCTCCACTCCAGAGCATCTGTTGTTTCCATATCCGCCATGTTTTGATTATAAGCCTTTTAGCCTTTTTGTTTCAAGAGCAAAGAAGAGCCAGTCTGTTTACCTGGTTCCTGATACGATTGCAGAATGGCAGGATTATACATCTTTTACACTCTTTTTGTACCTCATGCCTATGTACCCGTTCTATAATTTGGAAGGAAGATCTATGCATGGAGCTCCACGTGTAACCAGAATTCAATATCCACTCACTATCAGTTCTCCAGTTTTTCAATCTTATTCTTCTGGATTTAAATTGTAAGTTTGGATGTGATACAGTTTACCTTGATAGGGAATTGGCTAATGGCCAGGGAACAGTGAGTAGGGATAAGTAGTCCTTTTCCGGATTGGTGACCTGCAATCAATGGTGTTCCACAAAGATCAGTCCTGTAACTGCAACTGTTAACCATGAATGATTTGAATGAAGGAATTGAAGGTACTGCTGCCAAATTTACAAACAACACAAAAATTGCTGGAAGAACACGTTGCGAGAGGGACGCAAACAATTTACAATGTGACATTGATAGGTTATATTCATAGTTTCAGAATTAAGGGGTGCCAAGTTAAGACTGAAATGAGGTGGAATTTCTTCACTCAGAAGGTTGAGAGTCTTTGGAATTCTTTGCCACAGAGAATTGTGGAGATGGAATTCATGTATATATTCAAGGCTGAGATAGAATCTTGATCAGTAAGGGAATCAAGGTTTGTGGGGAAAGGACAGGAAAGTGGATGGGAGGAGTGTCAGATCAGCAAAATAGTATTGAATGGCGGAGCAGACTTTAGCAGCCAAACACCCTACTCCTGTTTCAATTTCTTATTTAGTAGGTATATTTTCAAATTGGTGAGATCTGCACTGGAGTCTTAACTTCTCTATATATTGTCAATTAAGTTAGATCAGAAAAAAAACGTAGCTAGCCTAATATCTAAGAGTGGTGATAATGTGGATATTGACAGCAAGGGGTGTTAATAGATTGAGTGAGTATACGAAACGGTAGTAGATGGTGCCGGTGTAATGACAACCATGGACACTGTAACGATTGCCACTCCCTTCGCCTTGAGTTCCGTGACACCTTTGATGCTGAAACTCCCTTGCCCTTTATCACACCCTTGAGTTGGCCTTCTGTTCCACTTGCTGCTCACTTCACCACATTTTCAGCATAAATGCTTTTGCATTTCCATCTGTCCCTTCAGTTCTGAAGCTTTGAGACTGTTAGACTCCAAACATGAACTCCCTTCCTCTGCAGATGCTTTCAGACCTGCAGAGATTTCCCAGCAATTTCTGTGCTTATTTCAGATCTGTGGTATCTGCAGTATTTGCTTTCAATTAGGTGAGCGCAATCCTTGTGCCAAGATAGATCGATCAGTATGTATTCTAAAAGTGTACAAGGTGTGACAGAGCAGAAAGATCGACAAGCCCAAGTGAATGAACTGGTAAGAGTTGTTTTTATTTAAGAAAGGCATATGGAATATTGTCTTTGTCCTGAGGGCTTCAATCCAAAGGAGTGAAAATTATGTTAGAGCTGAGATCTCCTTTTAGATCCCAGCTGGAGTAACTGGGTTCTGGAATGGTGTGCTGGGCCTAGAGTTAACACAGTGCCAATTTACCAGAGTGATGTTTCAGGCAATAAGATTAAAATAAACACTCCCCATTCCACAGTCAGGGTTATATTCTCGAAGGGAAAAGTGTAATTAAGGTGATAAACATAAGTCAAGGGTTAGATATGGTAGATGTTATGTTGAATAAATACTAATGATTTGGATGAGGGAGATAAATGTAACATTTCCAATTTTACAGATGACACAAAGTGAGGTGGAAAGATGAACAATGAAGAGAATGCTTCAATGTGATTTGGACAAGTTGAGTGAGTGGGCAAGTGCATGTTAGATGAAGTACAATGTGGATAAATGTGAGGTTATCCACTTTGGTAACAACAACAGGCAGCAGATTATTTATGAATAGCAAATAGATTGGGAAAAGGGGAGTTGCAATGAGTCCTGGGTGTCTTTGAATGCCAGTCATTGGATGTAAGCATGCAGGTGCAGTAGGCGGTGAGACATCAAATGATATGTTGGCCTTCATAGCGAGAGGATTAAGGAACAGGGATATCTTGCTGCAATTATACAGGGCATTTCTGAGACCACAAGCTGGAATATTTTGTGCAGTTTTGGGCTTCTTTATCTGAAGAAGGAAGCTTTAGCTATGAAAGGAGTGCAACAAAAATTACAAGACTGATTCCTAGTATGGCAGAGCTGACGTATGAAGGGAGACTGGATCAGTTGGGATTATGTTCACTGGAATTTAGAAGAATGAGGGGACCTCACAGAAACGTATAAAATTCTAACAGGACTAGAGAGAATAAATGCAGGAGGGATGTTCCCAACGACCAGGGAGCCCAGAACCCCGCCTCTAAAGACTGCCGAGGTTTACGAAGGGATCTCACCACCATTTTATTCAGGGAAATTTTGAATGGGCATAAATTCTGACTCAGCCTGTGATGCTCACATACCATGAAAGAAGAAAAATTCTTGACCCTCAACCTTAACTGTTTTATGCAGGGTGCTAAAAATTTCAGAGCTGCCGCTGGTTGCTTTTATATTTAGTCAAAGTGCTGGAGAAAGTCAACAGATATGGCAGTATCTGTGGAGAGAGCAAGAGTTAACATGGAGCAGATTTGTGGCGTTCCCATATGAATTCTCTATCCCCCATCCAGGAATAACAGGATTAAGGCATTTAACCCTCAATACATTCAGTGGGACCAATGCTGATCTGTGTCCTAACTTCATGTAACTTCCTTCTCCCCTTAGACCATTGTTTCCTGAAGATGTAAACTTGAAAAATGTATATTCCTTCATGGGATGTGGAACATTGCTGGCTAGGTTAACATTCTACCTGCCCTGGAAAAGGTGTGGGTGAGATTCCTTCTTGATCCACTGCAGTACTTGGAATATAGTCACCCACAGTGTTGTCAGGGAGAGAGCTCCAGGATTTTGACCCAGCGATGCTGAAGGAATGGCAATATATTCCAAGTCAGGATGTAGAGGGTGGTGTTCCCCTGTGTTGGTTATCTTTGTCCTTCTTGACACAAGTAGTCGTGGGTTTGGAAGATGCTGTCAGAGAAAAGTGTTGGTGTGGAGGGAGTGAGTGTGGATGTGTGGGTAAAAATCCCAAGGACTGACATGTCCAGAAATTCATCAGTCTCCACTTTCAATCTGACAGTTGATTGAGTAACAGTCACCCTTTGTGGAACAGAGTTTCAGATTGGACCTTCCTTTTGTCTGAAAAAGCAAGAGTAATTTTTCTATTGTACACCTGAACCAGCAGAAAGAGTTTGCCACTATCAATGGTGTGGGTAGGATCCCTCCTAAGAAACAGCAGCAGTCTCTGCCTTGCCTTCCCATTAGGCAATAAGAGGAACAGGAGTAGGTCATTCAGCCTCTTGAGCCTGTTCTGCTATCCAGCAGGCTGATCTAACATTCCTCATGTCTACTTTCCTGCCTTTTCCCCATAGCCCATGATTCCCCAACTAATCAAGAATCTTTTTATCTCAGCCTTAAATATGCACAAGGATCTGCGTCCACAGCTCTCTATAGCAAGGAGTTTAAAAAACTTCACAACCTACTGAGAGTTGAAATTCCTCCTCATCTCAGTCTTAAATTAGAGCCTCTCTATACCAAGACTATACCTTCTGGCCTTAGACTGTTCCATGAGGGAAAAGTCCTTTCAGCATTTACCTTGACAAGCCCCTTAAGAATCCTGTGTGTTGTCATGAAATCATCTCTCATTCTGTTGAGCTCTCATGAGTAAAGTCCCAACCTATTTAGTGTTTGCTCATAAGAAAACCACTCATATCAGGGATCATCCTAGTGACCCTTCTCTGAACTATCTCCATTGAAAAGATGTATTTCCTTTAATAAGGGACCAAGACTGCTCACAATACTCC